TTTGGATATCCGCCGAGCCTGCCGCAGTCATCTCGCTCTCGTTGTGCTTTGCGCTTCCGAGATCCTGCATGATCTCGCGGAGCATGTCATCCCTGCTTGGGCTGAGATGTGGTAGCTCAGCGGCGATGAGGTTGTGGATAGCAAAGATGTCGGTCATCTTGATATACAGGGTGGGTTTGTTCTTGGCGTACAGGTCGTTGAACTCATCAATGTCGAACGTGCTTTCGGCGTCGGGCACGGTGATGAGGTTTTGCGTCAGCTCGGCCAGGCGTTCAATGGCTTCTGCGACGAAGGCATTGAGAGGTTGAAGGTAGATGTTGTCGCCCCCAAATTGCTTGCCGGATGTGATCTGGCCGAGAACTTTCGCGACTTCCCCGAGGTTGCGCTTCTGGAGCGGGCTCAGCTGCTTGTCCATCACGCCCACATTCTCAGGCGTGGTCACGGCCGGCTGGAGATAGAACTTCCACAGCCAGTTGGTGATAATTTGTAGCAGACGATCCTGGGGCTCCCGTTGGAACCGCTGGCAGAGAGCCTCGAAAGCCTGCCGGCACAAGAATCTGAGACCGTAAGGCATGCGCGGAAGTAAATCTTCAAGAGCGGCGAGGAATTGGTCGCAGATCTCCCGGAGGTCGCGCAGATGATCGATAAACACCGCCTTCGTCTCCGGATCCTTGATGGCGAGTTCACGGGGGATATCTAGTGGGCGGCTGCTGGGTCGGCCGGTCCTGAGTTTCCTCGTTATTGATGGCGGACCGGTAAATTTGCATAGGGTCGCTCTCTAGGTCGAGCTCGGGGTCTTCGATGATATTGTCCCTGATCAGAGGCCCGAGGAGGTCCCTCAGATATTTCCTGTCGCGTGGAGATCTCGTGTAATTGTGGACGAGTCTGGACCAAAAGAAGTTGCCCCGGAGATAGTCTTGGATTGTCTTACAAGTCTCGACTTCTTCCCGGATGGACCGCCCAATGAGCTTCAGAAGATAATATTCTTCTCGCCGCTTCTGCGCGTAGCCGAAGAGGCCCATCATAAGGTGCTCGACCCGCTTGCACTCCTTCTCGGCGGTCCCCTGCTCGCGCAGACGCTTGAAGAGCCTGGCCAGGTATTGAGGCTGTGTCTGAAGGGCGAAAAACAGCTGCTGGTAGGATTCGAGCTTCTTCCTCGAGCCCTTGTTCAGGGCCTTGAGATCAAATTGGTTAACACTAGCCATGGAGCTGTTGGCGAGGAGGTTGCTGGCATGTCCGCCAAAGTTGCTTTGGTGCCTGACGACCTCGTCGAGGGTGATCTTGTTCTTCACCAAAAGAGCGATCTTGATGTCCAACTGGTCGATGTATTGTTCCAGCATCTCATTCTGCCGGACTTGTTGGACAACCGTCTTGCGCAGCCGCTCAAACTCGACCTCCTCGTTGAAATCAAAATCGCTGTCGTTGAGGAGATGCACGAAGTTCTTGACAGCATTGACCGGCGGGTTCTTCCCAGATGTTAGGCTCTTGTAGGCCTCGCCTTGAAGTTTGGCCCGGACAAAACTTTGAATCTTGACCACCTTTTGCATGTTTTCGTTGTAATGCCGCTTCTTTTCCTCAAACTTCGCCCGGACTATGAAGGCCTTGGCAGCAGACTGAATCTCGCCAACGACTTCTTCGTTCTCCTCAAGCTCATCTAAGACCCTTGCGACATTGTCTCGAAGAAGCATTGCCCTCGCGAGAGATTGCAAGGCGGCAACTTCCTCGTCGTTTTCTTCAAGGTCATCAAGTAGGATGTTATTCTGCTGCCGGCATAGAACACCGCGAATATGGGATTGCAGTTGAGTCACTGAATCTTCTTCCTGGTCCAAGGCTTCGAGGAGGTCGGACACTCGGTTCCGTTCGAGCATTCCCCTAATAGTGGATTGCAGAGTCAAAATTTCGTCCTCCGCATCGCCCAGACCCTCGAGTACCTCGGAGATCTCCCTGCGCACCGCAGCTGCTCTGCTGTGCGATTGGAGGAGGCCGAGGGCGGTAGAGTGTTGTTGCAATTCGGCTTTGACTCCGCTAACATCGCGCCTAGCGAGACGTCCTCGGCTGGCGGCTTGCAATGTTTCCCACATTGGTGCTAAGTCTTCGAGGGCTTCTCTTTGTGACGCGATTTCGCCCCTGGCCAATGCGGCCCTGGCAGCGGCCTGCAGACTGGTGATGGCGCCGGTCTCTGACTGCAATTCCATCTGCTCCACTCCCAGCTTCTGTCTGAGAAGGAGCCCGCGGACGGCAGCCTGAAGCCCGGCAACGGGAGCGGCCGTGTGCTTCACTTCCTTCTCCTGGGCCATCATCTCCTTCCGGAGCAAAAAGCCCCGGAAGGTCGCTTGAATGTCCCGGATGGGGCCCGCCGCAACCGCCAACTCAGACCGCTGATCTCGCACCTCGCTGCGGGCCTTGCTTGCCCGCACCAAGCTCTGGAGCTTCATAATGTCGCCTTCAACACTCTTCCACACCTGCTCTGTCCCTTCCTGGCGCTGGCGGACGAGGAAACCGCGCGCGGCGCTTTGAAGTCTGACGGCGAAACGCTTCATTTGGAGCCGATAGTCCATAATTTGGCGGGTGAAGTCGCCCCTAATGCGTGCCTGGAGGTCGATCAACCAATCCTCAGAATCCCAGAGGTTTTGCATTACATCGCCCAGTTGCATCCGAAGCACAGCGCCGCGGATCTGGGCCTGTAAGTCCGCCACTGCAGCTTCATTCTCGGCCAGCTCTCTGTCGATTCTCTCCTCCTCGGTCTCTTCAGGCTCTGGCGGTTCTTCAACGACGCCGAAGTCGGCCCCCATGTTGCCGAAGCTAGGCATGCTGGTTCCGAGCTTATCAAGACCCTTCTGCATAGCCTCCAGCTCATGGTGCTCGAACTCCAGCTGCCCAACGAGGTTGCCGATCCGGAAGCCCACTATGCCTTTCCGGTAGAGCAGCCAACTCAACGCGTGGATGCAGTGAATAACCTTGGGGATGTTTTTCTTCTCGTACAAGTCAATAAGCTCGAATCGAAATAGGTCCGGAAGTTCGACTTCGTCTAAGTAACGGAAAAATATGGCGATATTGTCCGAATGTCGATATTGAAGTCGAGGATGATGGAAGATCTTGAAACGGCGCTGAGGATTCAGTGATTCGACCACCTCGGCAAGCGTGACACCGTCCCTCAGCGCCTCCTCCAGCTCAACGATGGGCGGGATCGCGCGCTGGATAACATCCTCAATCCACTCTTTAGCCTCACCGATATGGCAAAGATACTCGTAAGCTTGGAGGAACTGCCGCTGCTTATCCATCCAGTTCCTACCTTCCCAACCATAGCCGCCTGTCCGTTGCGCTGGGCGATTATTCCCGGCCTTGTCAGCCCTTTGAAGCCTCCGCCGACCCTTGAGACCGACCACCTCCTGCGCTGGGGAAGTAATGGAAAATTCCTCGGCAGAACTAGATTGCGCCAGCCGTGACAAGGTGCGGAGCTGGTTTGTTGAGGACCGGCCCAGTCTTTCAAGGTCTGGCGTAGAAAGGGGGGCTGTATGCGCATGGAGGAGAGCTGGCGGGAGCGGGGGATCGCTGCCCCGGCGGACCGTATCGGAATGCGTTAAGATCATCGAGGTTGGACGAGCGGTAGGTGAGTCGGCGCGCGTTAAAAGCATCGAGGTCGGGCGGGCATTAGGTGAACGGTGGGGTGGCGTAGGGGGAGTTGGCGAGGTTGGTGATGTTGCGCCATGGTCAGCAATCGACAGCTTTCCAATGTCGACACTGTGGCCGCGGTCATGGCGGGTAGGAGCGCGGGGTGGTGTTGTAGGGCGCGGTACTTGAGGCAGTGGTCGGAGGGATTGCCGAGCCGCATGGTAGATATTTTCTGACATCGGCGTGGAGGGGTGGCTTTGTGACGAATGAAGTGGGGGGGGGCGGCGGGTGACTTCACTTTGGCCGCGTTTATGCCCGTGGTTGGAGTAGGTGCTGGATGGCGAAGATGAAATGGAGGATCGACCGAGCTCATAGGTTCCGGATGAGGCGTTGGAATAACCTGAGGATGCCGATGAAGATGCTGTGGAAGGCTCTGCCCTAGGATGTTAGCAATTGTTCCCGTTCGTCCAGGAAAGGAATGGAGGGGAAGGGGATATATCGCCGATTATACATACGTCGGAAAACGGGATAGTCGGCGGTTTGGGCCTGCCGCAGTGGGTGCGGCCTGTAGGACGAAGACATTTTTTATTTTGATGCGCCCAAGATATGGTTACTCGGCTTGCGCTGCCGGCGACGACAACATCTAGATGGTGGATTGTTGCGCCGTGTTTTGTCGTCGAGGTTGAAGCGCAACAACCTGCGGGGCCGTGGTTTCTAGGCAGTTGTCACAGAGGGAAACAAACTGGAAGTTCAACCCCAAGAAAACAAGAATCCGATGGTGGCAGGGCAAGGCAGGGATAGATTGGCGCGTGCAAAATGTCTCGTCTTACACCCTGCAAAACACCAGCGCGCAGCGCAAGGGGAAGCAAAATATCACAAAAAAGTGTTGCAAGAATGCAAGTAATCAAGAAGGCACGGCAATGGCCTCATTCTGCCCAAGTTGTTAGCAGCATTGGGTCGCAACAAGTGGTGGGAAGTGACCGGGGTGGGCCGGCAGTTTAGTGGTTCCAGGTTGGCATCGGATAGGAGCCCGGTCGTCTTGTTTACATGCAGAAGCGACGCCCCAGCAACCACACAACAGCCCCGCTGCTGCTTCGACGCACATGACCCCACTTGTTTCCGGGCCTTGCCGTCTTGATCGCGGCCCTACAAAAGCCCGGCAAAAGACTCGAGAGCGGGGCCAGCGGCATGAAAGCCAGTCTCACCGCCCACGAATGCCCCGCAGTCGGACCTTCGATGGACGGGCATAAAAAAATTTCGAGGGCGAACTCCAAAATTCTTCTTTTTCCTTTCTCTTGGGGGGGAACAGTCGGTCGATTCAGCCAAAGAACTCGTCGCTGTCTCCCCCCGCCGACCACCTTTCTTTTTTGACTTCACTCACCGAGTCAATTGCAATTGATCATTTGTTGTTGCGCAGAAATGCCTGCGACGAACGGTCCCAACGCCAGCGCGGGTGTGCTCGACTACCGGAAGGCTGTCGAGCTCCTCCAGGAGTACGAGCACCGAGATGGCCTCAGTGTGGACGAACTCATGGACTCTAAGGTCCATGGCGGTTTGACATACAACGACTTCTTGGTGCTCCCTGGCTACATTGGCTTTCCCGCCTCTGCCGTCGCGCTCGATTCGCCTATCACCAAGAAGATCACCCTGAAGACGCCTTTGGTTTCCTCGCCCATGGACACGGTCACTGAGCATGACATGGCGATCCACATGGCGCTCCAGGGTGGTCTTGGTGTCATCCATCACAACTGCGCCCCCGAGGCGCAAGCCGACATGGTGCGGAAGGTCAAGCGGTACGAAAACGGCTTCATCTTGGATCCTGTCGTCATTCAGCGGGAGACAACCGTGGGTGAGGCTATCGCCTTGAAGGAGAAGTGGGGCTTTGGTGGTTTTCCGGTCACAGGTTAGTTTCATTTTGCCACCCCACTCTTCTCCCGCCTGTTATGATTACAAACCTTTATTATAACTTTCGTTCCACCGTATCGACCTATGTGTCATGGGGACTGTATCACTGAAAATTATGATGGCTGCTCAACCACATGGATATTTTACATTTTGCTTGTCCTTATCGGCCTTGCGCTAACGGTTGAAATCACAGAATCCGGCAAGCTAGGTTCCAAGCTCCTAGGTATTGTCACAAACCGTGACATTCAGTTCGAGGACGATCTGAGCAAGCCAGTGTCCAATGTCATGGTTACCGACCTCATCACGGCCCCGGCTGGCGTTACCCTGGCCCAAGCGAACAAGATCCTTGCCGAGTCCAAGAAGGGCAAGCTTCCGATTGTTGACGAAGAGGGGAACCTCGTCTCGATGATCTCTCGCTCCGATTTGACCAAGAACCTTGACTTTCCTCTCTCCTCAAAGACAGCCGATTCCAAGCAGCTCATCTGCGCTGCTGCCATCGGCACCCGGCCCGAGGATAAGATTCGTCTGGCGAAGCTGGTCGATGCTGGTTTGGACATCGTTGTCCTTGACAGTAGCCAGGGTAACAGCATGTACCAGATTGAGATGATCAAATGGGTCAAGAAAGAGTTCCCTGACCTCGAAGTCATTGGCGGCAACGTTGTGACTCGGGAACAGGCTGCCTCTTTGATTGCCGCTGGCGTCGATGGTCTCCGTATCGGCATGGGTAGCGGGAGTGCCTGCATCACCCAAGAAGTCATGGCCGTTGGTCGCCCTCAGGCCACAGCCGTCCACAGCGTCAGCGCGTTTGCCGCCAAGTTTGGCGTGCCTTGCATCGCTGATGGCGGTATTCAGAACGTTGGGCACATTGTCAAGGGTCTTGCCCTAGGTGCCTCGACTGTCATGATGGGCGGTCTTTTGGCTGGCACCACCGAGTCTCCTGGTACCTCATTCGTGTCCCGGGAGGGCAAGCTCGTCAAGGCCTACCGTGGCATGGGCAGCATCGACGCCATGCAGGACAAGAAGGCTGGTGCCGGCGCCAAGGACAGCCAGAAGAGCAATGCTGGCACTGCTCGTTACTTCTCGGAAGGCGACAGCGTCCTGGTTGCACAGGGTGTTTCTGGCTCGGTAGCACACAGAGGGTGAGTTTCGAATCTTGACGTAATAAGCTTGAGCGTGATGCTGACCTGTTATAGATCAATCTCCAAGTTCCTTCCGTACCTTGCTGCCGGCCTCAAGCACTCCATGCAGGACTGCGGTATGACTAGCCTGAAGGAGCTCCATGAATGTGTCGCCAATGGCACCGTAAGGTTTGAGATTCGCACCGCCAGCGCGCAGCTGGAGGGCGGTGTAAACATGGAATCCTACGAGAAGAAGCTCTACGCTTAGGTAACACGGTTGGGTATGGGCGATGAACTTAAATGGAACGGAAAAATGAAATGATTTGGGATGGCTGCTGTGATGTTACGGAGTTGGGTGGGAAACAGGGAGGTCATCGGGCCGCGATCATCTCTCAAAAGAGACGGTCAACCTGCCCTCGGGCACACGTTTTTCTAGCATATATGCTGAATATACGAGACGCGGCTTGCTCTGCCGGCAATAAAATGGCATTGATACCCATGTTCCTTCTATTACGAACCCATGTTAGAAATCATAAACTCAAATTCACAATGTCACCAGGGCACCTAGAAGGACCGAAGACGGCTTGGCCGGTCATAACTTTTGTCTATTACTCAAGGAAGACTCCGTTTTTATCACCGTCTATTCTAAAGACAGTTTCAAGATTGCTGTGCTCATCTTGCAGGTGCTGCTCACTTCTCGAGTGCGCTAGCCGGCAGGGTCGCGACCTTCTCCTTGAAGAGCTTGTCAGCCCGGGACCAAACGGGCGTGTTTTGCCAGTCGTTGAGGGCAAGGAGCGACGGGAGGAGATCCTCTGCATTAATCGAGATTAGTCATAAGTCCTCTGATATTTTCATGTGCTGCCCAAGAGGCAGTAGAAAGAGAGGGGATATACGTACGGCTGAAGGCCTCGGATGCCTCGCGCGGGAGCAGCGACGGCAGGTGGTCGATCGAGATGACCGACAGCGCCGGGCCGCTCTGTAGGCCCTCGACGGCGACCGTCGGCTCGTCGAAGGTCGTGGCGACGGTGTAGATGGGGACGGGGGTGAAGGGGGAGGTGGTATCCTGCGAGGCCTGTGTGTTAGTTGCGAACGGGTTGGGAGAACGTGCTGTGGTGGGTGGGCGTACGGCTGAGACGTCGCACACGACGGAAAGCTTGCGGTCCGGGACCTGGAGGGACTCGAGGTTGACTGGGTGGTGTTAGTGGCTGTGACGAAAGGGTGGGTTGTATTCGGTTTTGTAAAGGATTATGTACCGAAGTTGGGAATCTTCTTGGTCAGGTAGATGCAGTTGACGAAAATGTCACTGTCGGTAATCTCCTCTGAGCAATGTGTTAGCGACGACTCACGCACACAAACAGCCCACGCAACTAGAAGTAGACGCACTAAACGGCCCGCCACCCGCGGTCTCGGCCATATCCCACTTAAGAATGTTCTCCTCAGGAACGCCGGCCTTGCGCAGAGCCTCAACGGCACCCGATCCGCAACGGCCGAGGGCACCGATGACAATGACACGAGGCGAGCGTCCTGCCTTCTCGATACCCGAGGCCAGCGCCTTCTTGACGTTCGAGACAAGTGCATCTTCGTTGGGATAGCTCTCGACCCCTGGGAAGGGCTCGCTGTGGTTCAATTGCCATGACCACACTTCAAGAGCAAGAGCAGCACCAGCGAAACCAGCGTGATAGCCGAAAGCCTGGGAACTCCGGTTAGCACCGGCTTGGAAACGGATTCGGGGTGGAAACGAACAGCAACACGACGGCCATTCTCATCGACCAGAAATTCCAGGTCAAGCAAGGTACCGCCGCCCCTAGGAAACCTGGCCAGGACAGTCTCCCAACCACCCTGCTGCTTGTCTAAATTCCAACTTCTATTAGAAGCTGGCTTTTTTTTTCGGGTGGGGTGATCATTGTCATACAGCAGTGGGCAAACTGAACATGAACATGCTTGAGAGGGACTGTTCAAAGAGTGTCAGCAAAACAGTCATATATGGCATGGCATATTCCAGGATTGTTACTTACATTCCTTCTCCTCCAGCTCCTTCAAACCGATGATGATGTGTTCCTTGGGGGCATCAACCCAGCTGTACTCGGGCACCAAGGTAGCACCGGCAGCCTCAAACTCAGCATCGTCGAATATCCTCACGGGCGAGCGCTCAACGTTGACAGTATAGCCGGCCTTGATCAGGGCGGCAGTTGTGGTTGGTGTCAGGGCTGATCTGTGTTCGAGGGGCTTGGTCTCGCTGCGGAGATGCAGCACGGTGGGAGCCATGTTGAGCGATGAGGGAACGAGAGACCGAGGAAAAATGGAGGTGGTTGTTGTGTTGCTGTGAAAGAGTCAGAATATTGTTCTTTTTCAGTGAAAGTAGGCGATTCAGTACCCGTCCAAACACTTACCGATTGGCAATGCGGCAGGTTTGAGTCACCGACATCAAACCAGCCCGACGGAGCAGCCCCGCCATCAAACAGACGGAATAATCTGTAACCCCGCTGCAACTGCTTGCACCTCGTCACCCCATGGGCAAAAAAAGCCGAACTCCAGGTGTCGGTGCTGACGAAACCTTCGACTGGAGGAACGAAAAGAAAGCCACTAAGAAACACAAATTCTACTTTTTACGTTACTCGACTTGTTTATTTGGTTTATTTTGCTCGATTTCCCTGTCTTTTTTTTTTATTTATTTTCTACGTTTCTTTCACTTCTGTCTATTTTCTTGATTTTTGCTACATTCTCGAGTTCGGCCTTTTTTGGCCAGAGGGAGCTCCTCGTTATCGCGCGCCGAAAACGGCGAAAACCCTGCCCACTGGCTCTGGGGAGAAGTTGGAGCAGCAAGCCGCAGCTGCAGCTGCAAGGTCCGCCCATCTCCCGAGCACGGAGACAAGGGGTGTTATTGGCTGGCGATGGTGAAGCGATTTGCTTGACCTCCCCGACTCCCCGTTCCCTGAGACCTGGAGTGTTCCGCTTCCATGGCATAGGTAGCTCGGATATGTCTGGGAAAATAATGCAACTACCACCCAATAGGTTGTGCTCCCAGGCTCTCACGGCTTCTACCGATTCCATCCTTGGAGGTTCATCTGGTTGTATCCACCGGCTTTCACACTTTTAGTTACGCACGAGTTTCGCCCATCACCCTCCACTTCTATTAGTGAGAAGCTAACGGCGGAATTGGGCTGCTGGTCCCCACATGGTTTGAGAGGTTCGGGGTTGAACATCGCTGCGAGACTCGTCCGGCCCGACCCACCGCCTTTTAGGAACCGGCAGAATTTACCAGAAAGTTGCCGATCGACCCACTAATTAAGTACTGTGCCGAACAGGGGCCCTTCCTCTCTGCACTCCGGTCCACTGCATCCGGCAGCGTCGGCGGTGGGCTCCAAAGAGCGAATGAAGAGCGAAGCGGAGAGAATTCCGGTTGTGATTCGCTGCCGAATGGGAAGGTGACTTTTTTTAAGGTGGTCCATGGTAGCCAAGGCTACCACTACAACTTCCCATAGCGCCGGGCGAGGTGCGGTCCGCGAACGATGGTGCTTTTATTAGGGTCCTGTTCCTTCAGTTGCCTACAGCAGTCATCGCCAGCTCTTTGCACGCCTTTGATTCGTCCTCGGACGAATTGTCTCTCGTTACCCGTCCGTCACGCTGCCCTGGCACTACCAGCAGCAGCAACAGCAACAGCACCGCACGCTGCCGGAAGCTCTGCCCCGCGACCGCGCCCGCCATGATGCCGTCAAGGTCTGAATCGGCCTCGCCTCTCGACAGACAGCAGCAGCCTGGCGGGCCGTTGCGGCGTCTCCTACCCGCGAATGCTACGGCCATTGAAACCGACAGGTCGCGCGAACAATCAACATCCCGCACTTCCCCGACCGCCGCTTCAAGTTCTGGCGCCGCCTCGCCTGTGGTCCCCGCTCGGAGGAAGAGAGGCCAGGCAACCACGGCAGCGTGCGGTGCGTGCAGGAAACGCAAATCCAAGGTATGATACCTGCTCCTGCCTTTCAAGGCCGCGATGGATTGGCACAATTGTACACCGTACGTGATATTCTGTCTACTAACCGCCACCTCGCCCACAGTGCGATGGCGACCGGCCGGTATGCTCCATCTGTCGTGACCGGGGCACCGCCTGCGAGTTCGACACCAAAGCGGCCGAGACACATACTCAGGCGCTTAAACGTAAATTTAATGAAACTGCAGAACCAAAAGTCGGCGTTCGAACAGGTCTATGATGTGTTGCAGGCGAGATCCGAGCAGGAGGCCACCGAGGTGTTCCGACGGATTCGCAGCGGCAGCGATGCTGGCTCCATCCTCCGCCATGTCAACTATGGGGACATGCTCGTTCAACTAGCCTTGGTTCCGGAGGCCCGGTTCCGCTACGAATTTCCCTATCTCCCCGATATGCCCCCCTTTTTGCGAAATATGGACAATCCGTACCTGGACTCGGACGTCTACGGATATGCTCTCCGCCAGTGCCCGAACTCGTCGTACCAAACCGGCCACCAACGCCCTCAGCAACGACTCTTGGCCGGTACGGCAAACGGTACTGACTCCGTTTACGGCGCCGGGCAACTAGATCCGTATGAGAAGCCCTACCTATCTGCGACCGTCGTTCACCCCTGGCTAGACTCGGTGAAGCCGTCGAAATGGACCACCGTCAGCAACGACGATGGCTTGCTTCGGAAGATTCTGCACGACTACTTCCTCTTCGACTACGACTGGTTTACATTTTTCCACAAGGACTATTTCCTGGAGGATATGGGCACCGAGAACACACGTTTCTGCTCCTCGCTTTTGGTCAATGCTGTATTGTGCATGGGATGCGTGAGTCTCTGCCGCGTCCAAGTGCGTCCTTTGGCTAATACTCTTTAGTTCTGCCACCGCGGCCTACAGGGACGCGCAGAGTTCTGGAACCCAAAAAACATCGGTTACCAATTTCTCGCCGAAGCCAAGAGGCTTTTTGAGGTTGAATCGGAGCTGGAAAGGCCGTTCAGGAACCCCGCTGATCCAACCTGGGAACGCAGAGACATGGAGTGGGAGCAGGCTAGGCTTACCACAATACAAGCTGCGCTGATGTTGACCCTCATCTACAACCTCAATGGCACCGATAAACTCGGCTGGCGCTTTACCCTAAAGGCTATAGAGATGGCCGACGAGATCCAACTCCTGGGTCTCCCACTTGAACACCACACACCCGAGATGCAGCGTATGAGGACATACACTGCATGGGGCCTGTTCTGCTGGCAAAGGTACGTTGCACACCTCCCTCGGAATGGTTTCGGGATGCTGACTGACCTCGGCTACAGCCTCGGCAGCTACCATTACTTGCAGCCACCTCCGATCAGTAAACCACCAGCAACACTTCTTCCCGATCCTTTGAAATGCCCGGAGTGGTATGGTGAGCTCTGGGTGAGGTATCCTCTCAGCCAGTCACGGTTACCAACGTTCCACGGGCTCCTTTTCAAGGCTATCGCCGATTTTTGGACCATCATAATCGAGGTCGCAACCCTCACCTTCTCGCGGCGTGGCCCGCCCACCAAGTTATCGGTCGATCAAATCTTCCACTTCTACTACCGGCTTCGGGCATGGCAGAATAATCTCCCAGAGCCTCTCACTCCTAAGAAAATCGTACTGCCACACCAGCTGAAGCTGCACATGTACTACAACCACATACTTATCGACCTCGTCTCGCCCATTCTGGACTATACCGGAAGCCCCGGGATACCGCTGGCCCACACGCCGCGTGACATCTACAACGAGGCCGTAAACCATTTTGAGACGGTCGTGCGTCTCTACTACTTACGCCATGGGTTCGAGGCCACCGACAGCTTCCTCCTCCACTTCCTCGGTTTCCTCAATCACATCACCATGAACGCGATCGAGACGAGCGCTGGATCTTCCTTCCTGGAAGCCCGCCGGTCGACTATGTTACTTCTCACCAAAGGAATATACGACCAAAGCCGGGTGCACTACGTCGCGGCGGCGGTCCTTCGCCTCCAGATAGGCCTAATGCGGCCCGAAGATGTTGACCTTCTCAAGCGGTTCGTCGACATAGAGGCAGACCAGCTAATATACGGACCCTTGAAACAAGCGGTCCACACCTCCTGGCCGGCGTATGCGATCGGCTACGAGACCAAGGCCGAGCAACTGATGCAGGGGCAAACGCTAGCAACCTGCCTCGAGAAGATTACACTGGAGTCGAGCAAGTCTCCTTCCCCAGAACGTTGTTCCCCGGCCGATGGACGGAAGGTTCGATGACATGAGGCCCGTTGTAGATTAGGCACGGATTCCACATATAGTCGGACATGTGCGCCAGAACTGTACATTTATTCTGTGTTCGGCGTGCCGGCTGCCCGAGCGCGATCGACAAGTGTTCCAACTATCAGCGTGTATTCTCAAAAAAAACGTGTGTGCCTGCGGACCTGGCCGTATTTCCAATGACATCCATCCATCAATCATCCACCCATCGTCATCATCATCATCATCACCAGCGTTGCGCGCATCACGTAGGTAGCTAAGTAAACCGGAGCTCAAGGCAACCTCAGTTCCTCCCTCCCCTTCACCTCCACCACCGCTTCCTTCCCCTCCCACGAATACACCACCCGCAGCACCTTCTCCCTCCCCGGCGCCGGATCCCAAAAGCCCAACAGCCTCCCCTTCCTGACCCCCTCCGGAATGACCAACTCATCCTCATCATCCTCGTCCTCCTCATCCGCCACGGTCACCAAGCCCGCCAGCGCAATCGTCACATCGGCGACCTCGTCGGGGCGGCGCCCCGCGCACGCCAAACTTGGCGCTAACAATCACCAGCCCGCCGCGCTTGCGCGCCGCCGCCTGCCGCGGCCCCACCCCGGCCGCCAGCACCACCGTCAGCTTGTCCGCCTCGGCCCGCCGCGCCGCCACGTGCGCCGCCAGCTGCTGCGCCCGGCGCGCCTTGAGCGCCGCCGCGGATTGGGTTTTGCGTCGGAGGTTGCTGTACGCTTCCCAGGCGGAGAAGGCGGTTAGGGGCAGGAGGAGGGTGGTGAGGAGGAGGTGGTTGATGGGGAGGGTGGGTCGGCCGCCGTCGGCGGCGGCGGAGGTGGTGGCGCTGGTGTCGGCGGTGGTGAGGATGGGCAGGCTGAGGCGCTGGCCCAGGCGCGACCAGTACAGCGAGACGTGCAGGTTGCTGGTGGAGAGGCCGACTTCGAGGCCGGCTTTGGAGAAGCGGCCGACGCGCTTGAGGGCGCGGAACGCGAGGAAGAAGTCGTGCTGTGAGGTGGCGGCGAGCTCGGCCTCGGCGCGGAAGCCGGTTTTGTTGTTGTTGGCCTGGCTTGGGGAGGGCTTCGCTGCGTCGGCGGGGGAGGTGAAGAGGTCGCGGCCGTAGCGGAGGTAGCCCACTGCCGTGCTGGGGCTCAGGCCCGTGGAGATGGACCAGGAGCTGGGCTGCTGCTCGTCGAGGTCGTTGTCAAGGGCTGTGAGACCCTTTATGGTGGGCTTGGTGAGGGCTTGGCCGGACTGCATGCCCATGTCGTTCCTCCCAAAGACATAGCCGATTTCGACGGTAGGCGGGGTGCGCAAAGTATTGATTAGGGGTGCGAGACCGCCCAAGGCCTTGGAAAACTTGGGCATCTCTTGGCACTCCTTGGATGGCCGGAGCTTCCAGTCGTCTGCCTCTGCTAAGAGGAAGGCCGTGCCGGGACCAACCCGTTGGTGAACAGCCAGCCCCAGGCTCGGAAACGGCTCGCTCCTGCGGCCAAGCAGCTTCCGGGCCGAGATCTCGACGTTGAGGGGGTGATGGCTGCCAAATAGCTTGAAAGATTGGCCTATCCGGGTAGTCGTGGAAGGGCGAGGGAGAACTTCTAGCTCTTGTTCGATGACAAACTGGGGGAGGGCAGTAGCGATAGGTGCCGTTCGCCAGAAGAGCTCCTGGCGGAAGTTTAGGCTCAGACCAGGAAGGAATCGGGACGCCAGTAGCTTCTCCACGCGCATTCTTTCGTGTACTGAGGGCCCCGGTGGCTGGTAGCGGTCAAGAAGGAGTGGCGTGAGCTTGAATGGCTCATCCAATAGCCCGTGTGCCGATGCAGTGACTGCCAGGGTCGGGTTTGAGAGACGAAGATAACGTCCTGGGCTGGCCTTGCGCAACTTCTTTTCAGCGCCCAAGTTCCGGATAAACAGAACAGTGCTCTCAACGGCCCTCCCAATTGTCCTCTCAATAGGCTTCCGCAGGGCCGGCACACTGGTGCTAGCTGTTTTCTGAAGCGAGAAGTCTAATATCTCCGGCTTCAGACCCTGCCGCCGCGAACCCCGTTGGGGTTGAGAGCCAACGAAACGCCATGTACCCCGTTGAGAATCAACGTCACGCCGGGGACCCAGTCGAGAACCAACAAAGCCAACGAGAGATGTGGCGTCCAACCGAAGACCGACGTCGGTACCCGCTCGAGACTCTCGCTGTGTGAGGAGGAGATACTGCTCTTGGAGCCTAGCCTCATAAGCCCCGCTGCCTTCCAGGTCCAAAAATTCGTCGTAAATACCCTCCTCATCCGAATCTAAATCAGTCTTGCCGGCCCTGGAGATATCATAACCCAGCCTTCGAGAAGGGTCAACCAGAGTCTCGACGGCGGCTTGGGCCAAACCCAGCTGGAAAGCAGCCGAACCTTGCAAAGCTGGGGGCTGCTTGTCGACTGCCAAAACCTGGGCGAGACGATGCGCTGCTTCCCAAATCTGATCAGGGGACAGAGATGGGCTCCTTGGCAGGCACAACAGCTCATAGCAATCACGATTAATGACGCGGCCGGAAGAGAAGGCTAGACGTGCCGCCCCAGGAACGCCCTCGGCTTCATCGCCGTGGACGGCTTCAGAGGCGAAGGTCGACCGTTCCAGAATGGACGAGGCATCGTCAAAGCCAAATTCATACTCTTGCCGGGTCGCAGCAAACTGGTCGCGCAGCGAATAGCGTGACACGACCGATGGCGGGCGGTGGCTGGGGTTGTGCTGGTTGGGGTGGAGGTGGCTGGAGGTTTGCTGGCTGGAAGTGTGCTGGCTAGAGTCACGATTGCGGTGACTGGTAGAGTCACGGTTACGGTGCCGTCTAGACCGAGTACTAGTAGAGGCACCGTCGTCTTGGGCAGTAGACGGAGCCCGGCGCGATCTTCTTGAACTCATCTTCAACCAAGGTGAGCCGATTCGGTGGTTCGCCAGTTACGTGACAGGAAAAGACGGTGAAAGAAGACAAGCATGGGTTCAGAGCCGGAAGCGGTTCGGTGGGATTTATTCACCTATGGTACGGAGTATTTGATGCGACGCTGTGCGACGGGCAGGGATCCGCTCTGTACAGGTAACTACCGAGGTACGGCGTCCATACTGTGTTAATGATGGAGTAGGTGAGGCAGGCTACCTCAGCTACTGTGTCACTATCCTCCCGTGTGGTGTTCGGGCTCGCTAGCATCATAAATTGCGGTTGACAAGTCGAAGAAACCTACTATGTTCAGAGTGACAGAGTGGCCATGAAAATACCCAAGTTACATGTCTTGCCTAAGTTGTGTGAGCCGATTCAGTCTTCCACCAAATTTCCTTGAATTTTCGTGAGGTGGGTTGGTGGGCTGGAAGGAACCACTTTGACGTGGAACTGGGTTCAACAACCGGGAAGTGGTTGTAGTGGTGCAGAGCAGCCCAGGCCCAACCGCCAGGCCTGAGGCAGGAACTGCGGGGGGGCAAGATAGGACCCTTATCAGGGAGTAACACCAGAGCGCCTAGGGCATCCCGGTCCAGAACCTGAAGCGGCTGGAAGCGCAGATGAGCGCGGCTGGAAAAAGATGCTGCCCATGTGCCCCTCACTGGCTTTGCTGACCAGCCTGACCCTTCTGCCCACGACACCACCAACCTGCAACCTCGACTCGTTCCGGACAGGTCGCGCGCACCCAAGCGCCATCGTCGCAAGCATGGCTCGAGTCTACGCCGATGTCAACCAAAACATGCCGCGTAGTTACTGGGACTACGACAGCGTTAACATCGGTTAGGCTTCCTCTTTTCGTTCCTCGTGATTGCTGCGGGCTCTGTCGCGCCGCTTGCAACCCGCCGCCCGCCACTCGCCGAGGTGTCGCATCGCTGACTTGTCGCAGGCTGGGGAGTATTGGAAAACTACGAGGTTGTCAGGAAGATTGGTACGTTGCATTGCCCTTCCTGTCCAACCCGAACGCGTGCCGCTGACCGCTCCCCATTGCAGGCCGCGGCAAATACTCTGAGGTCTTCGAGGGTATCAATGTCGTTAACTACCAGAAATGCGTCGTCAAGGTTCTCAAGCCTGTCAAGAAGAAGAAGATAAAGCGCGAGATCAAGATCCTGCAGAACCTGGCCGGCGGGCCCAACATTGTCGCCCTGCTCGACGTTGTCCGGGATTCGCAGAGCAAGACGCCCTCGCTCATCTTCGAATACGTCAACAACACCGACTTCCGCACCCTGTATCCCAAGTTCATCGACATTGACGTCCGCTACTACATCTACGAGCTTCTCAAGGCCCTCGACTATTGCCACAGCAAGGGCATCATGCACCGCGACGTGAAGCCTCATAACGTTATGATCGATCATGAGAACAAGAAGGCACGGCCCCCCGATCCTCCTTCCCCGCATGCGCTCACATGTCGCATAACCCATTTTGCTAACCCTCCCCCTCAGTTGCGCCTCATCGACTGGGGTCTGGCCGAGTTCTACCACCCGGGCACCGAGTACAATGTCCGCGTCGCGTCGCGCTACTTTAAGGGCCCGGAACTGCTCGTCGACTTTCAGGAGTACGACTACAGCCTAGATATGTGGAGTCTCGGCGCTATGTTCGCATCCATGATCTTCCGCAAGGAGCCCTTTTTCCACGGCAACAGCAATGCCGACCAGCTCGTTAAGATCGCCAAGGTGCTCGGCACCGACGACCTGTTCGACTACTTGGACAAGTACGAGATCGAGCTCGACGCCCAATACGACGACATCCTTGGCCGCTTTCAGAAGAAGCCCTGGCACAGCTTTGTTAACTCAGAGAACCAGCGCTTTGTCAGCAACGAGGCCATTGACTTTTTGGACAAGCTGCTGCGCTACGATCACGCGGTATGTCTCGGCCTAGCTTTCATGGAGCCATCCCGATTCGGTTTTCGTAAGGTAGCTAACCAGTCATGTGACACACAGGAACGCCTCACCGCAAAAGAGGCTATGGCCCACCCCTACTTTGCCCCCATCCGCGACCCGGAGACCCTGCAGCAGTACCTGGCCAGTGGCACACAATCTTGAACCCGTGAGAAGGAAAGTTTGCGTCAACTGTGCATATTGCGCTACGTTGCTCCAGATCTTCAAATCAACGCAAAACCCCGGGCTGTTTATGCGGCCCGGCCCTGAAAATCCTCGTTCTGAATGCTAGCCATTATCCCGTTCTGAAGACGACGTTTCCCTGGGATTTGATTATCCGGTGTCTCAAAAGCAGAAAATTACCACGCCGAGCATTTGATCACCCCCTGTATACCCCTACGAGCTGTCGCACGGGTGTAACCAGCGACATTGGTACTTCCATTGAGGGGAGGGAAAGGAGTTATTCGAGGGTTTGTAGTTTGGGAGTTTACTCGTTACTGTGATGGAGTTGAGTTGTAGGCGGGCGGTTTGTGCGTGGGTGTTTGGGAGATGGATGGAAAGATGGGGCGAGGGACGTTTGGCTACCTTGGTTACGACCCGGTATGGATCATGACGGATGTGTTCGAGAGGAATGCAGGTTGGTGGTGGATGGTGGCTTGAATGGGCCAGGCCATATGATATTCATATCGTTTGTTGTTCCGTTGCAAAAGCGGGACGGGTTCAAGTTGTGGACCATCACATAATGGTAAAACGGCGTTCCGCGGTTGCTGGTCTCAGCATATATCGCTTGTCTTCATTCTTTCCATTTCCTGTTGCATTCATGATGGGGCAGTGATAGGGGCCAGCGGGGCACTAAAAGGGGGCCATAGTTAATCATTCGTGTCCTTCGCATGCTGCTGCTCCTTTCGACTAGGTAGGTCGTCCACCTTGTTGAATGCCACGAGCGTCAAACCCAGAACCAGCTACCTATAAGCATGCTATTTACTTGCTAAATAAATACCCCCCCCAGTTAACCCCATATCAGAACTCATCTTCCACTTTCCCCAGCCCAGGTTGAGCGCCCAGGGTCCCTCCCCTCCCCTCCTCAAACTCATAAACAACTAAAACAAAACTCCCTCTCACACCTAAACCCGCCCTCCCCACACCGCCGCATCGTCCCCCCCGGCGTCTGCACAAACTCCGACTCCAACAACCGCGCAGCGGACGAAGAGGGCGTCCACGGCGCCGCCGACTTCCTCCGCCCCGGCCCCCGTCCCCGCCCGGCGGTCGGGGTGGTCTGATTCAGCGCGGTACCGCCGCCGGCCAGGACGGCCTTCTTTAGCTTGGACGCCGACGCCGATTTCGTTCCGGCAAGTCCCGGCGCCCAGAGCCCGAGCCGCACGTGGTGGCCGGCGGGGGTGGTGCGTGTGGTGGTGCTGGGCTTGGCGGGGCTGAGGATGGAGAGCTCGTCTTCGTCGTCGTTGGCGTTGGCGTTGTTGTTGGTGGTGGTGGGGAGAAGGGAGAGGACGCCGGTGCGTTTCTTTTTGGTGGTGGTTGTTGGTTTCGTTGCTCCTTTTGTTGTTGTTGTGGATGATGTTGGGGGGCGGGACTTGGAGTGGCGGCGGTTGGGGGCTTTCACTGGTGTGTGGGGGGTTTCTTGTTGTGGTTGAGGTTGCTTGGGTAGGGCTGGAGATGGCTGGGGTTTTGAGCTCGGGTCGGTCAGAGTTGGGGACGGGTGTCTTTCGAGGTTGCTCGAGAGGGCCTGGATCCGCTCCTCTGATGAGAACGGCGGATCCGAGTCGGGTACCTCTGGTATTTGCGCTGGGTTGTCTGCTGTAGTGGGCTACGCCGGCTGGGCGCTTGGTGAAGTCTCTGGTATCTCCTGCCTCATCGGTGGTTTTAAGGAACTTCTTCCATGAATGGCCGATTGATGAACTGCCCTGGCTGGCGTCTTCTGCGATTGAGCTTTACCTAAACGGCTCTGCCTATCCGTGGGAGATGAGGCCACCTCCATCGTCTCGGTACCAGCGTTCAGCTCCGGGCTCGCAGGTGGCTTTCTTGAATCTGAGTCTATGACCAAAGGGAGGTGAGCCCCAAGCATCGACTTCCGCCTAGTCATTCGCCGTTTATATGTTCCCTCGGATGGAGAAGACTTGTCGTTGCCAACGATCTCAGAGATCCCGGTTATCGGAACTGGGCGGCGCGGCACGCTCTTCTCTTCTGAAAGATTTGACAAGCTACCCTTATTATGACAGTCTAAGCTGAGCATCCGAGCTGGCGACTGAGATGGTGCAACAACCGTGGAGCCTACTGTCTGGATGGCCTCGTCCGCAGCAAGCTTCTGTGCAGGAGTCGTCTTCCCTGAACCAACGTTCTGGGAAATTTCACGGAATACGCTATGCTCAGAGTTGGTGGTTTTGGCGGGTTTAGGCTTTCTGGGCTTGCGTTGCGGTTTTCCTCTCGGCAACGCGGGCTCGTCGTCGTCTGAAAAGGCATACGCCGGATCGACAAAGTTTCTTGAGAAGGCTTCCCCTACTGGTTTTTGAGCTATTTTATCCCGTTTAGGAGAGCTCGTATTCCGTGGCCCGGGATCTGTTGAGGCTACCTGGAGAATTGATTCACCTGGGATAGCCTCACGATGCTTTGGTGAGCTTACCTCGCTCGGTTCCGGGCTGAGTATTCGGAACGAGCGGGCGTCGAAACACTCCGTTACGGAGATCTCAACCCGTAGCGTCTGATTCTGTGGTTTCAAGACGAGTTTCTCATCGCCGTCGGAGCCATTGATGTATGCACCTGGGTCCCCCCCGTGTAAATCCAGGGCGGGTGCAGGCGGGCTTGGTGAAGGAGACACCGGTTGACTCGGTTTCACTAAATTCCCTTTTGTGTCCTGGTTTGTTATCCCATTAGGAACTGGCGTGCCCGGTGTATGGGGTTCTGTGCTCTTGTTCCTTGGTGCTGGGGAGGTAATGATCCCATGGCCCTCGACTTCAGCAACTCTTGCAGGGCCCAGGGCCAAGCCGCCATTTGGTGTAAGCGTTAGTTTGGTGATGGGTTTGTTGTACAAGCGTTCCTTTTCAACCTTTTCCCTTCCAGCCGGCGATTTCGCAGGCTTTCGGTGTTCCCTTGGTTCCTTGGCCTTTTCAACGTTTTTGCGCCCGGTTCCCGGTGGCCTGCCCCTCCTCTTGGCCGGAGGCTTTTCTGGCGGAGGACGGGGCAAAAGCACCTTTTGTTTTACCGCAAACGCCACGCCCTGCTCGTTCCGCGACACATCCAAAAAGACGTCATCTTCGTCCCCGGCATCCTGTTCGCGAGCAGCGCTCAGCGATAGGCGTGCTGTCTTTTGCTTGGCCGAACCGGTAGCGTCTCCTGAGGTGAGCGCATTCCTCATAAACGGCGACGGCAACTCGGGGGTTCTCCAGGTCGGATCTGTGGTCGGCATCGAAATCGGCGTGCCATACTGCATCGGCATCCCGAACGACATCTGACTCGGGTACATCATTCCCGAAAACCCGAGTGGCGGCCCTCCCAACATTGGCGTGGGCGAAGACCACCCACCCACAACAAAAGGGGGTTCCCCGACCTGAGGAGCCACTGAAGGCAGCATCCCCCCCCCCGACGCGACTGAGTCTTTCCTCAACCCTGCCCCGCACCATCCTCTCCTCCTCATTAAGCGACCCAGCCTCCGACGCCCCATCGCCCTCCTCCTTCTCCTCCTCTTCCTCGTCTTCATCAGCCCCCCCCAACTCCGCATCCTTCAACGAATGAACATGGCCATTATCAACCACAATCTCGCCCGTCCTCAAGTCAATCTCATCGCCAACACCAGTGAAGTCCCTCTCGTATTTCTCAAAGATGCGTTCGAACGCGGATTTGAGCTTGAAGGCGGCAAAGGCGCGCGATCGCTCGAGGCGGGCGGCCGGGTCGCGGCGCGCATTGACTGCCTCGGGCCTCTCGTTCAGCTCGTCGGCTTCCGGGTCTTCGTAGTTGGGATGGTTGGGATCGTACTCGAAGGGCGCGGGACCGAATCGCGGGCGCTTGGTTGGGGGTTCCATGATGCGCGCATGGCCGCTTATGTGCGGGACCGGTTGCGCTGGGGTTTTTATCGAGATGCTCAAGTTCTTGGGATGGCAGCTTCAAGTCGAGTCGCGTTCCTTAAAGTTGTTAATGGTTGCTACAGTGTGATTGGAACAATTTTGCGCACGGTGATTGACACAGGTGGGGCAGTGACGACGGGGCTGGAACAATATGCGTGCAGGAAACCGCGGTGTTCATCAACGTGCGAGATACCTATACAACATACAATTCGCTAGTTGTATATCAGGAACTCGTCGAGCCTTGTAAATTATTAGTGTGGTGCTACCTCCTGCGTTGTCGAAACTCTGGCTCGGCCCCTCCTGTTTCCAGTTGCCGAGCCCTATAGCAACAAGGCCGCTTCCATTCATTCAAAGAACACCGAGAAACTCCTTCTAGCCCGAATCACCCAATCGCCTGAATTCGACATGCATAAAACACTAGCCCGCTATAAACAATCACTTGAACTTGCTGAAGATAACCGCAATGATGAGAAGAACTAGAACCGTGATGATGGCAATGGTGATCACCCGATTGGTAGCCATCCTGGGAGTTGTTAGTTGGGACCTCACAGTGAGTCTAGGAATGCAAGAACGTCATACCTACGAGCGATCCCTTTGAGGCTCTTGATGCTTCGATCAACATAACCTTCGCTCTCATACAGGACCCTGGTGGTGTGGTCAATCGTCTCGCGCTGTTGTTGCAGTTGCGCAAGCGTGTTGGCCCCGATCGCCTCAGTCTCGTTCGCCAGTACCTGGCTGGCCTTAAGCCGCTGCGTGCTGCGGTCCAAACGATCCGTGCCTGTAGCATGATAAGTTAGCCTTTCTTCGTGGGTTTAGAAAACCAAAATTGACAGACGTACCCGACAACAACTGCTGCCTCTGTTCGAAATGGGCATCTCCTGACGAGGACCCCGGGTTGTCGGTATACCGAGAACCGAACAGCGCGCTCTTATCATCTGCCAGCGTCCGCAGCTTCCGCCGGTAACCGTCGACGTCTGTTTTGTAGTCACGCAACCGCCGGTTGATGGCGGCGCGCTGTGTCGAGGGTACGTTCTGCTTCTCCATCTGCATCTGGTCGACCAACTCGCCCGTCTCTTCCAGCGCCCGCTCAGCGGCACTCAGCGCCGCCTTCCTCGGCTCCCCCGACAGCTCCACAATTTGTTCGAGCTTCTGCACTAGGTCCGCTTGGACCAGTTGGTATTCGGTCTCATAGTGCTTGAACAGCTCAGTACCAGCGTCGGTGTCGAGTGGGGTGGCCATTTTTTTAAGTCGGGAATCGCGGACGTCCAAAGATTATGGCCGCAAAGTTGTCAAAGGATCGCTCGCAAACTTTGAGGCAAAGAAACGCAGGTAATGCGATAGAGAGGCTCTCGAGATACAACCTGTGGGCGCCTAGGAGATGCTGGTTCTCGGATCGCAAGGGTATCTCGGCAAAGAGGGCCACAGTTGGTGCCTCTATCTTTACTGCAAGGCTCGATGTTGTTGGAATCTTGTGTCGCAAAACGGGCGCGGTTGCGTCGCTGGAGTAGTTTTGGTGCAATGTCTCGTCGTTGGTAGATGAAGTTGGTAAGTCTCAGGCCGAGGATTGCGTTGCTTCGCCTCTCAGGCTGCCTGGTTGCAGGAGTTCAACAAACCCGGACCAGTCAGGAGCCATGCACGTGCCACATGACGATCACACGGGAACAAGGCACTGTGGGCAGGGTTGATCCACATCCATTAGCGACAGGGGTGGCTGCAGGGGACCCCGAGTGGATGGGAGTGACGGGATTGTGTATCCGTATTCCGTACATACAGTAACTTTCCCCACCCATGGGCAAAAAAAGGCGAACTCCAAGTCTAGGTTACCGACGAACCCTTCGACGAGACGAACGAAAGAGAGCCATTCAGAGGCCCAAAGTTGACTATTTACTTTGCTTGATTTCTTCTACGTAATTTATTTTGTCCAGTTTTTTATCTCGTTTGCTTTTCTTGAATTCTTTTGCTTCTGTCTCTTTTTTTGATTTTTTGCTCCCCATTCGAGTTCGTCTTTTTTTGGCCAGAGGGAGCTTCCGCCGGTGACGTTGACTCGACAGGCTCCAGTCTCCCGAGTAGGAAACACCAAACCGCCCGTGAACTCTCAGATTGGGATCACATCACATCCGACCATCATCAATACCCGCTGGCTTCGGCATGGGCATTCCCAACCATGTATTGCCAAAAATGCCGTACTCCACTCCGGCTTGACGGTTCGCTGGAGGACCTGAATCCCGCAGCGTATGACTTACTCGTCGGTAAGCATCTTCAAAGCAACGCATTCCCATGCTTGTCGTAGCCTGAAAGCTCATCTTCTATCCTTTCCACCTAGCGACGCATTCGCAACAGGGCCCAAAGAAACCGACCACTCCCCGGACTCTCCACTCACAAGACCGTACCCGGAAGGCGACATACGACCGAGCAGCTCGAAATGCGCCTCCGCCGATATTCAAGCGTCATGGGGGGGCTAGTCGGGGCGATGGTCACGGTCGTGATAACTCCGCTATGTCATTCATCTTCCTGACCGAGTCCCAAATAGCGCCGCCGAATTCGGCCCTACAAAGGAATCAGCAGCTGCAGAATACTTCGGCAACACCAGCAGGCGCCGCCAACAGTCCCGAAGACGAAGAGGACGCTAACAAATCGTACGAGGTAGAGCGTATCACCAAACTTTTCGAAATACTCTCTGCTCGCTCCGACATCGACCACCCCGTCTGCGTTGACTGCACAGACGGACTGCTGGAGGAGTTGCAAAAGAAGCTGGAAATCACGACACGGGAACGGGATGCATACATTGGGTTCCTGAAGGAGATACAAGCCAGCACACCGACAGATGGGGAGCTACGGGCTCGGGAGGAAGCTCTTCGGAAAGCACAACAGGCAGAAGCCGCGGCACGTGAAGAGGTTCGCCAGCTGGAACGGGAAAAGGAAACACTCGATGCCGAACTCCGTGCTCTAGAAGCAGACAGCCAGCAACTAGACGCCCAAGAAGAGGCATTTTGGCGCGACCGTAATGCCTTTGCAAGCCGGCTCGCCGATTTCCAAAACGAGCGCGACAGCATCAACAGCAAATTCGACCACGACTCACGCCAGCTTGAAAAACTTCAGCGCAGCAACGTATATAATGACACATTCTGGATCAGCCATGACGGAACCTTTGCCACCATTAACGGCCTTCGCCTGGGCCGCCTCTCCGCCAACCCCGTCGATTGGCCAGAGATTAACGCTGCCTGGGGCCACGCTCTGCTTCTGCTGTTTACCGTCGCCGAAAAGCTGGGTTTCCGCTTCGAGGGTTACGAGCTCCAGCCCATGGGCTCAACATCCCGCATCATACGCTACGACCAGCCCTCCCCGTCGTCCAGCCGGTCAGGCAGCACATCGGCCCGCAGCGCCCCCCCTCCTCCTCCCAAACGCCACGTCCTCGATCTCTATTCGTCGGGTGACATGCCCCTAGGCTTAACCTTTATGCACCGCAAATTCGACAACGCCATGACGGCATTCCTGGAACTGGTTCGCCAGCTCGGCGCCCATGTGTATGCTCAGACGGCCGCCGAGGGTAACCCCCTCAGCCTTCCTTATCACATTGACGGTGACAAAATAGGGGATGTGAGCATCCGACTGGGTGGTGTGGCCCAGGATGACGGTTGGACCAAAGCCTGCAAGATGACGCTGACGTGTTGTAAGTTTCTGTTAGCGCATGCGAGCAATGTCAACGGAGCAACCGGTCCTTAAGGTCTTTTGATACACAAGCTGGGTTGGGATTTTGCAAATTAACGGGCCTGGTTGGCGCATGGGGTTATGAGTGTCTGATTGATTCCCTTGTGGAATTTGAACTTTTAGGGTGCGGTTGATTATTTCATGGAGCGACTGATACCAATACGGCGTTTCAGGCAATCTATTAGCACAAGGCAAACAGACCAGGATGGGACGTGAAGGGACGAGTTCGACGGCACACTTCTCTGAAACTATCCATAGCCTTCACACCTTAAATTCACACCCTGCCGATATACGAACGCGTTACGAAGACGACGACACACGAAATAAAAACCGGGTGATGAAGCGACATAATGTCTGACGGCAATCGCGGCCGCATGTGATTTGCGATATGGAACAACAGCAGTATATATACCCTCACCTGTGTCCCCAGATTGTATACACTTCGCGCAGCCACTCGTGCTAAACCCCCGAGCTCCCCTAGCCGGAAACCCAGACAACGATAAAAGCACCCAACATTTCAAGAGCCAGCTTACTTGGAGCAGCCGCTCTTGGACGAGATCTCGGACGGGCAGGACACCTGCTTGAAGGTGACCGCCGGGTTGTCGGCACCCTTGAACCTGGAGAGGAGCAAACCTGTCAGCCAAAACCAAACCAAACCAAACCACACCAAACCGGCCTCATATCCTCTCCTCTCTCTCTTTCCCTTTTCGTCCTCTTTACCAGGGATGGATGGATAGAAGGAGGGGCGCCAACGCCGGGGAGGAAAGAAATAACGTACCAGTCGAAGCGCCAGTAGCAGCCGTCCTTGAGCTTGGCCGGGAAGCTATCGCAGTCGGACCGCGAGTGCACGCCTCCGTACCGGTCACCCCAGCCGTTTGGCGGCGCGCCGTACTGATCCGTGCAGGCTGTTGGCGGGTGTTAGTGAGATGATCTGTGCGGGGGGAGAAAGAGGAGAGGAAGTGAAATGGCTTACCATTGAAAAGACCGACGCCACCGCCGGGCATCTGTGGTGTGTTGTGTTAGTGACCGGGTATGATATGTATGTAAGGATAAGATGAGGAGAGCGCAACGCACGGCAATATCAAAGTGGTTGTTCCCCAGGTCGCCTCCCGTGTTGGTCGCCTGCACAATCATCTTCTTGCCCGAGACGGGCCCGCTGGTGAAGGTCAGCTCGTAGCAGGCGCAGCACCACTGCGACTCGGAGCTGCCGGCGATGTTGACGGCGGCCCAGCCGTACGCGAGGTCGTCGTTGACGGCCCACGGGCTGTTGCTGGAGCACATGTAGGCGCCGCCGCCGCTGTCGCAGCCCGACTTGGTCGCGCCGCCGTCGTTGAGCGGGTTGTCCGACTTGTCGCACGTCCCCACCGGCGTCGAGGAACCCTTGCCCGGCCAGGCGCAGCTCGGCTTGCAGCAGTCCCAGTAGCGGGTGGTCTGACCGCTGCCTGAGGCCTGAGCCAGGGCCATGGCCGGGAGGACGGCGAGGAGGGTGGTCGCGGAGAGATGCATGGCTTGTGTGTATCTGGGTAGTACCTTGATATAGAACTGTGGATCACGGTATGAGAGTGTCAACTACGCCAGTTCCGCGGTCAAGCACATCGTGGGTAGAGTTCCCAAGATATATATATATCCCCCATCCCACTCTCCCCACTTAACTAGCCTCGACCGCCCAGCAGATCGGCAGGCAGTCTGTGTCCGAACCAGGGACCATGTTTAGTGAGCGGAGGTTCCCATCCAGAGTGCGCTCCGGAATAGCCAAATGAAGTAGACCCATCCGCGTCACTCCGAAGGAGAGTGATCCCGACAAGCCGCGGGTATATGGAGACATCCCGCTTCTCGAGCATGGATGCCGGTGTGTTGTGCAGGACATAGGGAAGGCGAGTTACCACCGGGTCGTTAACCGTCTTGGCCCTACTCAGATCTCCCCTTTTTGCACTTCACCTCCCTCTCCATCCCACAAAACAAAGTCCACTCCGTCCAGCAACCTTCCTTGAAAGACCAGGCTTGACGGAACCAGAAGAGAAAATGAGAACCAAAGCGGTTGGATCATGCCTGGTATCCCTGTTTGGCCCCCGCATTTTGGGGAGATCTACCGAAGGGTGGCCAGATGTGGAGAGGGGAGAGCGCTATAAATCAAGGCAGTTATGCACCCTGCCCCAGATTAATATATCTGGGACCCAGTTGCCGCCGGCCCAAATGGGCGGTCACCGCGGCCACGGCACAAGAAAGCCAATAACTGCTCACTTGGTACCTGAACGACTGGTCAATCCTTTGGAGTGTAACCCCTCGTTGTAATGGTAGTCCCAGAAAGGCATCGGCGTTGAGTGTTGATAGAGAGAACGACTATCGAACCGCTTGCATCTCTGAGCAAGTTCATACCCCTAAACAACAAGAGGGGAAACAAAACACCACAAATCAATGGAGCGCGTAACTTTTGACGGCTTCCCGTCTCCACCCTTGTCAGCCGCGCACAAAGCCATCACTACCAGCACAGGGGGGAGGGAGTCTAGTAACCCCACCCGCGGCGTCCACCGCTCTCTTCCTCCTCCTCATCATCGTTCCGCCGACGGCCGTAGCCACCATAGCTGCCGCCCTCCTCCTCTTGGCGACGACCATACCCACTGCTCTCCTCTTCTTGGCGGCGGCCATAACCCCCATAGCCGCTGCTCTCCTCCTCACGGCGCCCGTAACCACCATCACCGCCATAACCGCCGCTCTCCTCCTCGCGACGGCCATAGCCACCGCCACCACCATAACCGCCACCATAACCGCCGCTCTCCTCCTCGCGACGGCCATAGCCGCCACCACCGCCATACCCACTGTTCTCTTCCTCGCGGCGCCCATAACCGCCGCCACCGCCGTAGCTGCTCTGTTCAGAGCTGCGAACATAGTCATCGGCAGCGCCGCCACCACCGTAGCCACCGCCGTAGCCGCCGCTAGAGCCGCCGTAGCGGGTCTCGGTGCGCTCGCTGTAACCGTAGCTCTCATCGCGGCCGCCGCTGTCCTCGCGCTGCTCGTAGCGCTGGTACTCGCTGCGGCTGCCGCCGTCGCCGTACTGGGTCTCGGTGTACTGGGCCTGGCCGTAGCGGTCGCCGGAGCGGCCGTACTCGGTGGTCGTCTGCGAGTAGCCGCCGTCCTCGGTGCGGCCGCCGGACTGGTACGCCTCGGTCTCGTCCCGCTTGAACCCGCCGAGGATGCCGCCGGCCACGTTGCTGAGGAAGCCGCCCAATCCGCCGGACTCCTCGCGGCCGAACCCGCCGCCACCGCCAGCTGCAGCGTTCTCGACTGCGTTGGAAAACCCTTGCTTGACGCCCCCCATGATGGCATCGGCGGCGGCGCCGGCGATGCGGTCCTCCATGGTTTGCTCTGCCTCGTTCCTGAAGTTCTTGTGCATCTTCAGCTTGCCGCCGCAGCCGTGGCCGCAGTCGGTCTGGCCCTCGCGGTGGTTCTCCCCGCGCTCGACGCCTTCGCGGCTCAGCTTGCCGCGGTACTCCTCGCGCTGTGCGTCGCCCATGTCTTCCCACCACTCGCGCACCATGTCGAAGATGAGGTTGCGGCCCTCCTCGGCCCCCTCAGGTCCCATGTCGCGCTGCGCCGGGTGATGCAGCACTCCGTAAATGATCTTGTTGAGCAGCTGGTCCACATCAACGCTCTCGTCATCCCACGCATCCATGATCTGCGGTACGCTCCATGAGACAACCTTGGACGCGGTGCGCCCGCCAATTTCGTTGAGGATCTGTGGGAAGGGGAGGTATTGGTTAGCGTGGCCGCCTCCATCAACGATCGTGCCTCCCTCATCTTACGTTTGTGAAGTGGTCCTTGGCCAACATCGAGTGGGTGGGGTCGGTGGAGTCGTCGTCATCAAAGACGATGTGCTGCTCGTTCTGGCTGCTCTGGATGATCTCGGTGGCGCCAGTCGCGAGCTCGTTCTTTATCTGCTCAATAACCGGGATAATGAACGGCGCAATGATCTGGAAGACAAAGACGGACATCTGCTCTTCTAGCTGCTCAATAATTTTGGGCAGGACGGGCACCTTGGAGATGGCCTCGGAAATGTTCTTGAGGAGCTCGTCGTGGAACTCGATGGCGGGCATGATCTGCTTAAAGATGGTCTGGATATACCTGGTGAACTCCTCAGGCTCCCGCGGCGAGACGCTCACGTTCTCCATCTGGGCGGCTTGGGCGTTCTGCTGAATGTCGTCTATCTTGGACTTGTCGCTGCCACCGAGCAGGCCATCGGGGATCTTGTCGAGCAGATCACGAAGAAGGCTGGTGTCGCTTTTGCTGCTCTGCTGCAAGGTTCCCTCGAGGTCCTCGATCTCGCTTTGGATCATCTTGTCGGACACTGTGGTTTGTTAACTTGTGTAGCTGACAGGAGGTTCGTGAGAGTGATTACATTCGCCGGTCACCGAGTGCAGGAAATCAACACCGCCAAAGGTGCCAGTAACTATGGGATAGACCGAGTGGCGAGCACCGGGGATCCTCAGCTTCGTGTTGCGGCCAACGTGGGGGAAGACTTCTTTCTCGCCCAGCTCGATCAGGGCAAGCTCGGTGTAGTTGCTGTGGGCAAAGTAGTCTGCAGTATGTCAGCACCCAGAAGGCCGCACGGAAGGAGGGCTGCCGCCAAGTACACACCCTCGAGGCAGTGGAGGCCGGTGCCGAGAAGGCGCAAGGCTTCGTAGAGTTCCTTCTTGTTATTGGACTGGCCGTAGGAGCGGCCCAGCCGGATGCATTTGCTAAACAGGCGGCGGACATGCTGGGCCGAAGTCATGATGCCCGCGTTCTCGTTCGCGATATAGTTCTTCATGCCGGTTTCCTCGTCGATGGCTAGCTCTACCGACTCATCGACGAGCCCGCGCAGCCGGGGATCATAATCGGTCGCATCCACATTGTCGGCATAGTTCTTGGGGTTGTCGATGTGGTCCTCGGGGCGGTAGCAGCCCAGACGTTCGGCGGTGACCTCAAACTCACCACTCCCGTAACCGAAAGTGACGAAGCCGAGAATGCACAGGAGGAGGCGGATGGCCTCGGCGGAGACTGCCTTGACCGTGCCAACGTCGATAGCCTGCGAGTAGTCGCGCAGCCAGTTACCAAAGTAGACACGAGAGACCATCAACTTGTCGAACTTCTTGCCGCCGGCCACACGGGCCATGGCAATCCTGAGAAGGGCATCCTCGATATCGCCGTGACGCCCTGGCAAACAAAAGAGTCAGCTAGGTAATGGGTAACGATGGCATTGAAGAAAATGGCTAGGGCAACTCACAGTTCTGGCCCTCGACCTTGGAGATGCCAGCAATGTTACCGGCGCCAAAGGCCAGTGTGGGTTGCACGAAGCAAAAGAGAACGATGAACCCGAGTAGGAACGGGTAGGGTTTGAAGGTCGCCATGATGACGATTTCTCAACTAGCTAGGGTATCGATGCTTCCAGTCAATCGATGCGACGTGACGAGTTGTGTAGGTGGTGAAGAGAGGAAAACGGATATAATCGCGGCGGTCAACAGCTGGCAAATAGCTAGCACGAGAATTAACACGAGTGCGGGGCAATCGAGAGAATGGATGGGAGATGAACCTTGTCAAGCCCCGCGGTTGGTGATGTTTGGGACCTTGCGAGGGTGGGTTCGAGATGGAAGAAGTCGGGGGAGGAATCAATGCACTTGGTTTTACGGTGGGGGATGGCGAAGATGAAATACCAATGAATTAGACCTCAATCTCTCCTAGACTCTATGAAACCCCGCGAAAAGTCGATTCCTTCTCAGTTTGGGCTTCTTTTTCATGCGCCGCCCGACCTCGTCCCCTCATCCCGCCTTGACCAACCTGAAAGTCAGGTTTCAGCAATCGGAAACCTGCCAAGCCAGCCATTCAGCTTGCTTGGTCGTCTCTGTCGCGGGGTACTCGGAGGGGTCGTTTTTGGTGGAGCGGGGTTCCTATGGATGGCCCCTGTTTAAAGCAGTGATCCAGAGCGGGGCGCTAGCAGTACCCCTGCAAGAGCTCGGCTTTTGCAAGGTGCCGGCCCCACCTCGACCGAAACTGAAGCCAAGAATGGCGGACGCGTTTTGTGGGCATCAAAACACACACAAGAACCTCGAAATGTGACAGCGCGAGATGTGACTGCAGCTGTCGACGGCGGCCAAACCACCTTTATTTTATGCTCGTCTAAATTTCTGGTGTCTCCTACGTCCGGGACGTATTGTTTGAGAGGCCGCAACCTACCCTCCTACTTTGACGACTTGAAATGGCACAGTCATAGCCAAGTTGAGATGGCGGGGTTGCGGGAAGCTGAGAGGAGTGATGAGCCCCGTGAATCTTGTGTGTTCAGGTGCCATTTTCACAAGGTATCGCCGCTGGCTGATCCCCCTCTTCCTTGAGTCGCGCAGCCTCGGCCTTGCAGATAATCAGAAGGGCCTAACCCTGCTAGGAGTTCAGCTCCCCAGGGACCCGGTTGCGTGCTGACGCGTCGGCTGTCGAGCAAACCGATCTCTGCATGGTACCTACGATGTAAGTCTGGAGGTACCGACGTACATACAGGCAGTCCCGATGCACGGGCATCTATCATCAGAGTCAAGAAGGGAAAGCCACTCCCAAAATCACACTTCAAAAGGACGAAACTAGGTTCTGTTCCTCCCAGTTTACCAAGCGCCATATCACGGGAATAAGCAGAGAAACTAGAGTAAGAGGGATGCTGAGGAGTAGTTAAGCCATTCTTTCGAGCCTGCCTTTTCCCCTCGCTCTAGACAGAGACAACAGAGGTACTTCGCATTAGTATCTTGTTTGGCCCCAACTCTTCCAATAAGTTGTTGGCACCTTCGCAAAATACACCACGAAGTACCCGGCTTATGGAAGAACCCGACTTCAGACCCCCAACCGACTTACATGCCGTTTCTTATTTCTTATCGAGCAAACCAGTACACGGTGGGCGTCTTCTTGAGAAAGCCCCAGGGCTATAAGTACACAGTTATAGACTGAGTCGGAGAGCTGGGAATCTGTGATGCAGTGGCCGATACGAAAGCGGTAGAAAGGCTCGTTGGGGCCTGAGCTCAATTGTCACACGCGCCGCTGTTCTCATTCTCGGAAGAAACCAAGTGTACCCCAAAGGCTTAGCACCGTGGAGGAGGCAGACGGGAGCGGCTAAGCATTAAAACGCCGGACCACGCTGGGGACTAAGGGCTCCAGCAGCTCCGTCCCAGGTTGCGGGAGAACCGGCGGGAGGTTGGGGAGCCACAACCTCCAAGCGCTGATAACAGGCGCTCAGCACGCGCTGGTGTCGGGGAACTTGCCCAGGCAGACAGGAGACAAACGCCCAGGCTGGGCGGGGAGTGTTAAGGGGGAGGGCTCTCCAAATCAGCCAAACCAAATTAGGGCTGCCTGTCACCCCTGTCGGCTTGGAGCAAACCCACTGCTGCGGCCATTCTGGCGAGTCGTGTGTTCGCTGATCTGATGCCCATTGGACGATTTCGGGTCCCTGTGTGACCATGGGCTGATCCCGCTTCGAGCACTTGAGGACAGCGCAAACACCGTCCCAGCAGCGCTTCGAGATGAGAATGACCCGGTGTAGCTTTGAAACTCGGGAGTGGTTTTATGACATCTCCCAGAGAGCTATGGTGATGGATTCAACGCGAAAACAACGCATTTAAATGTGCAAGAATCTGGACATCGAAATTATTGTAGATTAAGCATCGTCTCCTGTGGGTTTGCCGAAGTCTATCGTGTTTTTTCTCGCTGGCCTGATAACGGATGACAGGTCTGCGCTAAAATCAGTGACGCGATGTGTTGTGCAGTGAGAGCTTGGGTGGAGGTCGGAGATGCAATGGGAAAGCGGGGTGGAGGTGAGGTCGTTCGCTGGCAGCACTCGGCCGATGAACTCGTTGCACCAGCCTAACATATTTGTATGTATGTACATATGTACTATTATTGTGTACGAGGCACTCAAAGCTCTGCATTGCAGTCAAACTCTGGGGCTTTCTTGATTGCTCCGGGGAAATACTGCCGCTATGGTGGAGGGTAGAGACCTTTAATAGGTACGGTGCGACCGTGAAACTCTCAGTCCAGGGCACCGCCTGTAAAAGACCTGATTGAAGCTTCAGTGGTGCCTGTTGATGAAATTGGAGGCCAAGGTTGCGCAGGGTGGACAGGTCTTGGTCGCTGACGCTCCAGCTCAATGGAGTCTTTTGGGCCCAAATTGGGCGGCACGCCCAGTTCGCAATTTTTGACTGCCAATCTTCAGCAGGCCGTTTCGCTGAAATCAGCGCTGGACCCCTCCTCAGCGACCCACGTATATTTTCGGCAACCCCGCCGCACCCCCCAAAATTCGACGTGAATTTTTCCTCCCAAACTCTCTGTTCATTTTACTGCATCCCACAGCGCTTGCTCAACCTCGCAGTACACAACGCACTGAAAGCGCTGCCTGCTCCACCATCAATCGCAAACCCGCCAAAACATCCACTGAAGATATCGCATCAACCATGCCGCGCCCACCCAAGAACAAGCCCATCGCTGAGCCAGTGGTTCCGGTCATTGCGGCGCCCAGCGTCCCCGTCGCCGTCGCCCCCGCAGCGCACAACTTCAAGGCTCCCCCGGTCATCGATGTTGACCAGTTCATCCGCGTCAGAGATTCGGTAAGCTATTTGCTTTTTGCGCATCCCCGCACCCCGTTCAACAGCAACAACACCATGCCTGCACGTCCCCCCGGAGCCACTTCAAGAGCGCCCCGCAGCCTCAAGACGTCACCATCGGCCATTGTGTGCCTGGCGTAAGCCCCAAAGTTTGGCTTCTCAGCCAACACCAAAGGCAAAACACAAAACAAACAACGCGATTATCTCGCGTGTGCCCGTTTCCCACCCCCATCCCATTTTATCCCCCCCTCAACTTTTTACATCGCCACGCAGTATCCCCAAGAATGCGTTTTCCCTTGGTGGTCGCAATACCTCTACGATTGTCTTTGCGCTTCACCTTGTTTACAAAATACCCGCTTTGAGCATACCCGCTAACTCACTCACAGGTCTACCAAAGGCTCCAGACAATCCAGGATCTGATTAGGAGTTTCTCCCAGGATTATCTTCGCCAGACTAACCTCCTCATTGGCGAGGGGACCAACCTTGAGAATGGCGCAGAGTTGGACCGCATCGCCGGGTCCCTAAACAACATGATTCCGGTCACTTTTGCGCCTCCGCAACCTCCGGTCGAAGAGAAGAAGGAGCGTAAGAAGCGTACGCATGACCCCAACGCGCCCAAGCGCCCTTTGACCCCCTATTTCCTGTACATGCAAACCGCCCGCCCCATCATCGCCAATGATCTGGGCGACCAGGTTCCCAAGGGGGCCGTTCAGGACGAGGGCCAGCGCCGGTGGTCCGTCATGACCCCAGCCGAGAAGCTCGGCTGGAACCAGGCTTACCAGTACAACCTCCGTCTCTACAACGCGCGGGTCCACTCTTACAAGAACGGAAACCCGAACGCTAAGGAGATGAGTGATGACGACGCTCGCATCTACGCCGACCAGTTCAGCATCGGTATGCCACCCATCGCTCAAGCCGAGGAGGTACCGGCCAACGAGCAGGAGGCTGTCACCGAGCAGCTGCAGAGGGACGCCGTCCCGGAGCCTGAGCCGTCGGAGCCGTCTGAGGAGGAGCCCGCCGCGCCCGTGGCCAAGACCCCGAAGAAGGCGCCAGCTCGCAAGCGGAAGAGCACAGCGGCTGCCACCCCGGTGGCTGCTGAGATCGAACCCCCCAAGCCGGTGGCCGCCACCCCAGCCAGCCCCGAGGTCAAGAAGCGGAAGCGGGCTTCCAAGGCAGCGGAGCAGGTCGTCGAGGAGCCTAAGAAGTCTGGCCGTAAGAAGGCCAAGAGCGGTTAGGCTCACTTCCTCGTCCTAGCTCTCTTTTCTGTCATCTCGGTTCGGGTTTCTCTCTTTAACGATACCTCGGGGGCCAATACGCGTTTTCATCTTTCCTTGGATGATGCCTCTCTTGATAAGGGACGGCGAGGGGCGCTCCGCGCGTGGGATGAGGAGTCTCGTTTGGCTTCGGATGCGAAGTCGACAGCATTCGCAGACGTGCTATTCCGGGCCCGTTGGGTGTAACGGTTAGTGTATGGATCATTGAGCAAGAGGCACCAGTCTCCAGGCCTTCATGAAATCGGATCATTGGAGGGAGGAAACGGGACGAAGGGGGGAGGGGCGCTTCTCACCTCTGGCCTATAAACCATCTGCGGTGGTATATGTACATGGTGGTCTCCGGTTTTGCGTTTTCGTTATGGGTCGCATCGATGTAGGCTGTACAGGCGTCAATGAATTTTACATAACATTTTTTTTTGTTCCTTTGGTCTTGATTCTGGTCTTGGACATGTGAAATGCAATCGAGTGCCCAGGTTTGGGAGACTTGCCTGGATGCCGGTTCCCCCGCATCTCACCGCACGCCGAGACAGCGAGCTTCGGGCGGATCAGGGCTGATGCCGCGCCGTCCCTGTGTCTCTAGCTGGTTATCTCAGGGAGGCCCAGCGGCACAAGGATCGTGCGGGAAAGCCGCCTGCAACCTTCCAGGTTCTAGGGGGATCTGGGGCCCTAATTCAAGCACCTTTGCAGAAGCCAGGAGCACATCCATTAAAGGTCCATGGGCTCATCCCCGAAGGTTTACCCCAATGTCCCAAGCTTAACCCTACAAGCCCATCTTCTTCCGAGAACCAGGACCATCCTCCAGACCCATTCCACTTCGAGATTCGATGGGAAAGATACCTCTACCCGGGCATCCATACCTCTCCCTCAGCAACCGTGACACAAGTACCCATTTAAGGTTTGGCACTCGCACAACAACCGGGAAACATGCGTACCCTAGCACATTCCTCCACAACTGCCCTCTTTTGGAATCACCACTGCCTCGCCGAGGTTCTCTGCGGACCGCTGAACGTCCTCCCTAGGCACACCTGGCTGCCGCTATCTCACTGCTATGAAGAAAAAAACGAGGCACCGCATCAAAACAAGTATATATTACTACGAAAACGCTATACTCCAGCACACCTCCACCTGAGAGAGCGTGAAATCAAACATTACAAATAGAGACGTCCACACATACCCCTTCCACAACAACATACCTCCAACACCATTTCCACCACTGCACCATCACCACCCACACCACCCACTCAAACCAACCCACCTCCCAAAAAGAAATCCCCTCCCCCAAAAATATCAGTAAAAATAAGCCGTCTGCGCCAACGGCAACTCAGCCATCGGCTCCGAGTCCATGACCACGCCATCCGCCTGGACGACATAACTCTCGGGATCGACCGACATGCGCGGGGTGGCGTCGTTGAACTTGAGGTCCTTCTTGCCGACGTTGCGGCAGTTGCGGACGGGGACGATGCGTTTCTTGAGGCCGTAGGTGCCGACGACGCCGCTGTCGATGCCCGCCTGCGACACAAACGCCACGCTGGTCTGCGGGATGGAGGGCGCGAACATGGGCCGCATGATGAGCGGTTCGATGGAAGGGATTGAGGCGTTGGCGTCGCCCTGTTGGGTGGGTGTGGGAGTTTGGTTAGTGGGGGGTTCGTTTGAAACAGGGGGGGGTTTGTGGAGGTTTGAAGAAGAAGGAAAGGGGCTTACCTTCTTGTGTATTAGGAGATCATGCCGAATTTGACGACGGTTGTAGGTTTGGTGCCGA